CATGAGAATCATCTTTCACCTCCGTCTCCCAAATGTAAGTCATTTCCGAGTCTTTCATGTCGCTCCCATCCACGTTTTCTGGTAGTTTTCATCCCATTCTGTCAAAATCTCCATGGCTTGTGACTCACAACCTTCCCCATCAGGAGTAGCACTGGCAGTGAAAGGTTAACCTGAACCCGACCCACGATGACAGCGTCCCCGCCACATGAATAAAATCCAGACGTTGAAAAGTCTGCAGCGCTAACTTGTGCAAACTAGAACTAATCACAGAGAAGCTTGTCGTTTCAGTCTGGGGGAAGAAAGAAAAATGACAGAAATGCAGCCAAGCACGTGGAACTCCCGGTCGCAGGAGCGCTGAAGCACAGGAAGCAAAAGCAACGGCGCCATAAATTAATAGCAAAACAAAACGAGCATAATTTGAATATGACCATCATAACCTTAATGGGTCGGTTCAGCCAATTATGAAATACAAATAGCAACATACTTTCTCACCTCCAGTTTCACTGGCGGTGTCTAGCCAAGCAGGCAGTTTTGATTTTATTCAGTAATTCGGTTCCAAACATTTACAGCAATGGAAAATGTTTTAGAGAAAATGTCTGGAAAAATTGAAAGAAAGAAACAACGAGGAGGCGAGATAACACCAGAATCCTGAAAGAGCAAGGCAGAGCGAAGAAGTAATGCGTTCAGATTGTCACCGACAGCCGTTCTATCAAAGAGGACTTCTGCTTTTAAACTTCTTAAATTGTTACGATGAAAACATGTTACCTGCCGCGGGGAAAGTATCCGGCTGTTTAGAGGAAGAGGCGAAGATTCGATATTCAGAGTTTCCTTTCTCTTATGTCCTCTCCTGTTAATCATCACATGGCTTCATTTATTATTTCGTAATTTCTGTTTTTAACGGTGAAAATATGAAATCTGAACTGTGGCTGGAAGCGACAGGGAAAATGTTGTTAGACATGCAGCTACAGAAAGTGACTCATCTTCAAGAAGAGAGGAGAAGCCAAAGGGAGAGAGCAAAAAACGAGTTTGCTGAATTCCCTTAAAGAGACATAGATAGGCCAGACCATATCTCACCTCTCATCTGCTTGGTCAAGGTACAGACAGGTGGAATGAGTCCAATATAGAGATATGAAATATTCAGCAACCAAAAGGCTTCTGTCTGTTCCACCGTTCCAGGCCTCCGAGGAGTCTGTGTGGCTCCAAGCACATGCATATACAGCGCGTGTCCTATATACATAAAAACGCAGAGGAATGCTAACAGGCACACGGAGTGAGGATGTGCACTCTGTTTTCAAAGTCTTAACGGTGTCAGTGACAGTTTTTCATAGCAGGCCTGCTGAAGCCGCGGCTCTCCGTCTTCCTCTGACTGAATATTACATTTGCAGATGACTGAAAGAGTCTTTATCTTACAGAAAGACAAAGAGAGATGGACTCGGCATTAACCACGAACAGGAAACACAGAGGAAAGGAACCGTATCAGAGACAATGAAAGTGTCAAATAAAAGAGATATGATGAAAGGATAGATCGCGGCACCGAGTTCATCACGCCCGCTGAGACAAAGTGCAGCCTGAGCGTCGGTGGCAGCTGTCAGATAGACGCCGGCTCACGTTCCCGCCATGTCGGCCCAGCAGTGCCCGGTCACTTCGCACCGGCGGAGCACGCCTCTGTCAGCTGAGCTCAGCTCGGCCATATTTCACGACGGGATCAGATGTGGGACCAAAACGTGCCTCTGAGCTCGGAAATTCCTCAAAGGCAGGACCGGAGAACAGGACGGTACATCTTTATGTGGCGGCGCTCCAAGACCAGCAGATACTGCACGCTTTCATCTCCGTGTACATATGATAAATTCATAAATTAACACTCTCTGTCGACTCTGTGGCCAGAATCATGGACACGAGTTTTTAATGTGCCTTTCCTCATTATATAGCTCCGGCTGGGAGTTGCTTCCGAGGGGCAGCCAATCAGAAGAAATCTGTCTGAAAGGGAGGTCTTAAAGGCTTTAAAAGGAGAGTAAAAGTAGAGTATGTAATCTAATCAATAATCAATCAAAGTGTGAAAGCTGGTCGAGTAGAGTCCAATAATAAAAGCACGGAGCTGGGAACAACCATAACAGGTCCTTTTAATTGGATATGAATGAGTCATAACGACGGAAATGGCATCAAACTGCGAATTGTGCAAAGCTGCTCTAGTAGGATCCAATAATAACAACATGGAGCTGGAAACGAGGATAATCGGTCCCCTTAAATGGATACGAATGACTCATAATGACTGAAATGACTGTGTAAATATGAGCCCTTTATTTTGAAGAGGTATTTCTGGAATGCGTGACTTCAAAGAGAGAAAATCTTACATTGGTGAAGATTAATTGTTTTCATATGATCACTTGGCCTCTTTTGTCGTGATCTCAAATAAGTTTCCTGCTTCAATGTGCCACAACATTTAAGCACGATAGCCAAATGCAAGTTGTAAATGAGATCAACCACAGAGGACCAGCTAATGCACCGTCAGTCTGTGCTGCTCTAAGAAATCTATTTGCAGCAGCACCTTTAACATCAGCCAGTCTCAGCCTGGCCCCGAGACCTCGCACGAAACCCGTAAACATAACATCAAAACCGGGATCCCAGACCGCAGCTTGTAAAACGCCCCATTAGCCAACTAATACACCCGTGTGATTGTGTTCATCTCTCACCCACCAGCGTAGCACACCAGTAATGATCGAGAAGTTTTGCTTTTAATTAAGCCGTACAGTTGCTCAAGCTAAATCTCCACATGGTAGAAATTGTGCAATTTAATTAAAATGACCATTTTTCATCTAGTTTATAATTTTTATTAGTGCGAGAACCAAATGAATGTGAGCGCTTATTCTTCATTTGCAGGATTTTTTTCGCCCGTCAGATCTGCAGCGGACAACGATGGCTGTGCAGAGCAGCAGCTTTGATAAAGAACCAAGATGTTATTTTAATGTAAAGTACAAATACATTAAAATCTGTTTAAGGTTTCTTTGCTTGGATAGGCTGCCGGTCTGTCCAGATCATTATGCTTTTTGGCAATCACAAATGTGTTAATAACCAAAAACCCCAGAGATTCTTTAATTAGTCTGTGTTTGATATAACACACCCTGCTATCTGTTTAGTAGGGGTGCAATAATACTCGTATCGGTATTGAACCGTTCGATACAGTGCTTTCGGTTCGGTACGCATATGTATCGAACAATCAACTTTTCTTCTGACGATGCTGTCTGTGTTGAGCGCTCAGGGGATCTGCGTTCTACTACTCTGCCTAGGCTGCACTGTCGAGCACAGATCCACTGAGCGCAGCGCAAGCTAGCAAGACAGAAGCTAAGCTCGTTGCAACATGGTCACTGCCTCAACGCTACCCGAAATTGAACCTCCCCCACCCTCATTCAGATCTGGCGTTTGGAACTATTTTGGTTTTCGTATGACCCTGATGGTAAGCGCGTCATGGACAAAAGTAAAACAATGTCGGATGTGCCACGCAATGCTCAATTACATTGGTGGGAACTAGTGCGTTAGCGCAGTTAGCTTGTTAATGTGTTGACGCTGTCCAGCCCCACGCACGGGGCGATCCGCGGTAACTCGTTAAGGGAGATTTGTGGCGTTATGCTGTTAATGTCATTTTAACGAGATTAACGCTGACAGCACTAGTGGGAACACAACGAATATGACTGCACATTTACGTTGACATCATCCTTGTGCAAAGACAAGTGGAAGCAGACAAAAACAACAAGCACACATGCTACAAACTTTACCCGAGTCATTTAGACAGCCGTTAGCACATGATTCTCCTTATGGGGACCTGATACGTTTAATATGCTGCTGAGAATATAGCCCAGAAGAAGCGTATAGTATAGCTTTTATTTTGGAAAGAGCCATTTCTCTGTAATAAACTCTCTTTTCCAAAGATGAGTGATTTCTCGATCAGACATTTTTTATTATTATTTTGTTGTTTCAGCAGCATTAAATTTAAAAACTGTACTTTTGAGTTAAAATATATATTTATAATTTTATTAAATAAAAAATTAAAAAGGCATGAACATTTTTTTGTATCAAAAAAGTATCGAACTGAACCGAACCGTGAATTTCGTGTATCGTTGCACCCCTACTGTTTAGGTATGTGACCACTACTTTGACTAGGGTCCTCCACACGTTCTGTAAGTCGCACACTTGGGCTTGGTGAAGTCAAAACCTGAAGGCTAACTTTGTTCCGTCATCAGCTCCAGAGGAAGTCGCCCGCAGCTTGGCGGTCAGAGGACCTGACGTGAGAGAGCAGCATCAAACGGAGGGGCCATCTGAAACAGGATTAGAGTTGTACGCAGGTTCTGATTATGAAATATTTATCTGTTCTTCTCTCAGGGAGCACAGCACATGAACTCCGGGAACTTTCAGAAGCAAAGGATTAATTTGCACGCACTGAAATTAGCACATAGATCAAAGCGAGGGGTGCCACGGGAGTATCCGAAACCTCAGTGTATCTAGAGTAGAGATTGTGCTTTGCTGGTTACCAAATCTATTTTCATAATGATATGGATAGAGGGGGGGGAAAAAAAAGAGGACATCAAGGGGAATCCAAGCTGGAGTTGAGTATAATTAACCACATGTATATGGAACAAAACCTACCAGACCAAAGCAAAGACAGCATACAAAGGAGGACAGAGTAAACAGAGAGAAGAACAAAATTAGCTAAAACAGACACTGTAATTTTCTAACCAGCTCTCAGGCCTTCGTGTAGGATCGGAGCGATAAGCCTGGGGAGGAGTTAGATACAGCCGACTGCCGAGGTGGACTGGGACGTATTGTGGGTTTATTTGAGGATGTCTTCTGTGTAAACTGAAACCACCGGGCTCTTTCTCTCTTTTACTGTGTTGTTGTTTACTTCGAACATACCGAGCTTATGTAAGGCCTGCCAAAAACAGGAGAGCTATTTGTTTGAACGTTTGCAGAGCAACACAAATACACAGAGCCACAATCGCTCCTCTTACCGTCACAGTCGCCCAAGTGGTCCACGTTTCCGTGTTCAACATCTTGCTCAAACGGCAGTCTGTGGAGGAGAGGAGACACGGCCATTAATCAGGTGACACGGAGGCACGGCGACTCGGCCGCTGAGCCCACAGCGGAGATCCGTTCTGACACGGGAGACACACAGTGTTACACTGGGGCGTACATCTCGACGAGCTCCTCGCACTTAAGAAATCTCATTTTTTTGTTAGGCTGGCGAGAAAAATGAAGTGAAGAAGCCCTCGAGCTGCCTAATATCCCACAATAATCTTCATTGTAATTTCAAAATACCACTCATGCCAGCAGCATCAATAATTAAACTAATTAATGCAATGAATTACAAATATTTCTAGGTCAGCAAAGGACTTCATATTAGAGATATTTGCTGTAGATATAAACTCCAAACTGCTGGAGTGCAAAGTGCTAAAGAGGTGGAACAGTCCAACACCATGTGTTTCGCTCATTAATATGCAGATTAGGGTGAGGACGTGCCATAATCATAGCATCCTACCACTTTTTACACATTTATGATCAGTGAAATATTCAGCAAAACCTCAAACTGTACTGTACTGATTTCTGTGGAAAACTATGACATATTGTATTTATACAAGTCATTTCCCTTTTGGTCCAAAGGGGAGCATGAAAACCTCAACAGACAATAACATAGAGTATGATGAAGAGAGGAAGTGGAGAGGAAATGAGAACGGCTCACAGGCCAGGTGCACACCGAGACAAACACAAGTGCTTCTGATTATGGCTCGTGTCGAGGGGGAAGCTGCGACGGACGCAGCGAGAACGTTTATGTAGGTGTGTGAGCGCATGCAAGAGCGTGCCTGCAGGCTCCATGCGTTTCAAAACTCAGTTATAATGGGCTTCATGTGACTGGAAAGACCTCTAGTTAAGTGATTTAAGTATCATATAGGGGAAAGTGCACTTTTGCCCCTTTTCAACAGCACAGCTCTGGAAGAGAAATGCATAAAAAACACGAAATCACAAAAAAACCCAGATCGTTTTCATTCTGAATGATGCGTGCATGCATATGTTTCTTTATTTTTCCTGGGTCATGTGTAAATTAGCGTGCAAAAGTCTTGAGCTGACC